TTTTTTGTTCTGTTTCTGTTCACTTTCCAATTAAACTTTTAATAACATTTTATTTATTTATTTATTCAGTCATTCAATTTATATCCCGCCCTCCCTGCCATGGCAGGATCAGAGTGGCTTACACAAAATTCCGAAGATTTTGTTGGGCTCTTCGGAGTCTTGGGTTTGAGAGAAGGATTTGAGACATATGATCCGGAGCAGGAAAGAAACAAGGCAAAGCAAGACTTCAAAACAAATGCTAAGAGTAGCAATGCTGATGATGAACACTAATAACAAAGCAAATCTTGACTCTCCAGGGAAAGGGGGTTTGCCCGTCTGTATAAGGGAGACGCTTAAAAAAGAAAACACTGCACGGTGAAAGGAAGAATATGGCTACTAGTTTTGTCCTTTGTGTTGTGAAATACATTTGATTTTTTAAAAAGGTCTGTTTGAAACTAACATCGACTTTCTATTGGGTGATCGAACAATTTCCTCACCGCCTCAGTTCACTGCCCCCTCCCCTCGAATGTGTTAAATGTTGCGAGGGCAGTCGGAGGGAGGTTGCTGACCAAGGGGCAAAGACTCGCTTGTTAGCCAGTTCAAGCAGGAGACTCAAAAGCTTCGGTGGCTTCATACCACCAGAAATAGAATTTAAGAAAGGTTTTTAAAAACACCTAATGACAACGAAATTATGGGTTCTGAAATGAGAGTACTTTAAAAAATATAAAGATTTTTGAATATGATTTTAAGTTTTGCCCTGCGGCATCATCTTTATATCCCATGAGAAATGAAATGTGAACTCAATAAAATCACACAAAATTGTATGGAGAGAGAGAGAGAGAGAGAGAGAGAGAGAGAGAGAGAGAGAGAGAGAGAGACTGGCTAAGTCACTCAGTAATCTTCATGGCAGAGTGGGGTTCAGACATTGGTTAATATTAGTTAATATGGATACAGGTCAGATACTATTTTAGGGGGAAAAGTTTGGTCCATTTTTTTTGGGGGGGGGGGGGTTCAGCCCCTGGAAATCTCTTAGCCTCGGCCTACTGGAAACGGAGCTCCAAAACACTGTCTTCCTTTGAGGGGGAAACTGTTCAAACCACCCCGTGGGAAGTCTTCCTGAGCAAAGACTTCAAATCGTCCCAGGACCGATACTTACTTCCACTAGGAATTACTTTCTTTTTCTTGTGTAGCAGCTGTTTGGTATTTTAAACTAAGAACGGAGTCCACCTACTGATAAACTCATTGCTTTAGCCCGTTGGTTCTGCACATGTCACTAAAGCAGCTTGTGTTTTAAATAACGAGTTGTACTTTATTTTTGTTATTCGTTAATGAAGATGAACACAAAACGCTCTGCCTTGGTTTTTTTTTTTGGGGGGGGGGTGTCACACTTTGCACTCCTGAATGCGTTTGTTGGCGAGAAATTCCATTTACTGGTGTACAGTCGGTGTGAATCAAATGAACTCAGAATTGCAGTTATGGCTAACTGAAAATACAAGCCGCATATTACTGAAACACGGTGGGAAGAAAACAGGCTGCCACACTTAAAAAATAATCTCTAGCGTGAAATGTGTTTTGATTCAAATGTACACATGCGAGGCAAACAAATCCAAGCTATTTTGCTCTCGTTTAAAATCGCAGGGTGTCCAGGCTTCGTTGTCCTTAAGAAATGACATAGCTTTTTCCTCCACTTAAAATATTTTGTGACATCTTGCTCACCCACTCTGCCTCTTCCCCTCACCCAGTCCAGTCCCCTCCTCAGATATTTTAGTGCCCACATTCTTGGGGTGTGTGTGTGTGTGTGTGTGTGTGTAGGGGCTTACTTTGCATTTAGCAAGATACATAAGTCTGCCAATCTCTAATAGATGACGAACCTAGCTACTAAGGAGAAAGCTTGTGTGTCGGGGGCGGGGGAGAGAGATTTTGTGTGTGTGTGTGGGGGGGAGCAAAAGTAAAAAAGCCAGGAGGGAGTGGAATGGAGACGGTGTGCGGGGAGGGGGGGAGGGAAGAGAAGAGTCGAGTCTTTGGCGGGTTCAGCGCTTTTTCGCTGTTTGGAGTAAATGAGGGGAATGTAGATTTTCTGGGGCCAATGGCGAGGCTAGGCTGGGCGCCGAGCTGCTGATTGGCTGGGCGGAGGTTCTTAGCCTGTGCGTCGCCCCTAGTTCATGTCTACTGAAGTGAGTCCAGCTGGCGCCAGAGCTGACATAGGATGCTTTGGGGATGTTACAAAAAAGGCCAGAATAAGTGGAGCTCGCCATCTGAGTAAGAGCCTCCTCTCTCTCGCTCTCCTCCTTCGCCTCTCCCTCACTCCCTCTTTTCTGCATTTCCATCCTCCAAACAATCATCCGTCACCCCCACCCCCACCCCCCGTTTACAACCTCATAAAGAAACTTTTCAAACATTTGGAGTTAGACTCGCTCTGCTTGGAAGAGCTCTCTGTAAGTATGTTTGTTAGTTTGAACGGGGAAGGGGTGGGGGTGGGGAAGGGAAAGGCGACTGGATTTATCCAGCAGGAGAAAACGCTTTCGAATTACTGGCGTGTGACTGCGTGTGTGTGTGTTTGTGTTTCTAAAAGCTCCGATAAGGGTGGGTGATATTTTTTGCTTTCAGTTGATCTCAACTGAATTCTTTTTTTTTTTTTTAACAAGCAGACGCAAATCAAAAAAGGACTATCTTCCTTCCCCCCTTATATTAAAACCGATCGGCAAAAAGTTGCTTTCATGACAACTTTGGGAAAAACCAGCGCTGTTTTCCAGGAGCTAACTTTTAAAAGGGGTTTGGGCGGAGTGGAAGTGGCAAGAGTGAAGACTTTGAGAGGAGGGGGAAAGCGGGAAGATCTGCAAAAGCGGGACCCTCTTTCATCTGTCTCCCCCCCTCCTCCCCCCTATTTATGACAACAAATGTGGCCGGACTGGATCGGGTTGGATATAGCCGGACGCGCGCTCGACGGCCTGGGTCTTCCTGTCCTGTGCTAACCTTTCCTTCCTCCTTACAGGTGGTGACCCCAGGTGTGCGGCCGGAGCGGCTGGCGACGACTTCCCTGCTCCAAAGAGGGACACGGTTACGTTTGACTCCTTTCCGAGGTCATCGGTGCTTTTGAGAGCTGTGCAGTTTTTGTTTTTGTTTTAAACAACTTAAGGGGGAAACAAAGAGAGACCCCGTTTTGGGTCCGAGGGAGGGGCTTAGGGGTGGAGTGGGGGAGAAAGCCACAGCTATGGAGGTCGCCACGGACCAGCCCCGCTGGATGGCCCACCACGCCGTTCTGAACGGGCAACACCCGGACTCGCACCACCCGGGACTGGCTCACAACTACATGGAACCGGCGCAGCTCCTACCTCCGGACGAAGTGGATGTCTTCTTCAACCACCTGGACTCCCAGGGCAACCCGTACTACGCCAACCCGGCCCACGCCAGGGCCCGAGTCTCCTACAGCCAGGCGCACGGTAAATCCCCCCCCACACACATACACACCCCCGGCGGGCTCGCTTCGGCTTCGGGTTTGGGCTCTTCTCCACCGAGCGGGGACGGGGAAGGTTTCTGGCTACAGAGCGAGGGCGATCCGGGTGGCTTGGCTTCCCTCCTCCTCTAAAAGACAAGCCCGGGGGGGGGTGGGGGGGGGGGGGGGAATGTAGGAGGCTGGCAGAGGAAAGGGAAGCGGCGTGCGCGACTGGGCCCGGGCGCGGGGGGGCGACGAGTAGAGAGACCGACTTCTCCGGCACAAGGCAGGAGAGCATTCCCCGTCTGGAGTGCTCTCTCCGGGGTCAGTGTACGTCCATGTGCGAGGGGGGGGGATGGCAGGGTGCTTCAAGAAGCCAGCAGCCGTGGCTAAGCCCGGGAGCCCCGCAGCAGCAGCACACAGGGCGCCGTCGCTCCCGCTGTCCTGGCGGAGGAAGCGGCCGGGGGAGAGACTCTGTCGCCGCGCCTGCCTCGCCCGCTGGGTTCGAAGGCAGCAGGAAGGTGGCGGGCGGGCGGCCGCGGTGCCCCAAGCAAGGAGCAGGGCAGGAGGCGGCTCGGGCTGGGGGTGGGGATCTTCCTTCCTTCCTCTCCTCCGCTGCCCTCCGCCCGACTGACGCCCGTTTCTCCCGCCCCGCAGCGCGCCTGACGGGGAGCCAGATGTGCCGGCCCCACTTGCTCCACAGCCCGGGCCTGCCGTGGCTGGACAGCGGCAAGGCGGCGCTCTCGGCGGCGGCGGCGGCCCACCACCACAACCCCTGGACGGTCAACCCCTTCGCCAAGGGGCCCCTCCACCCGTCGGCGGCCGGCGCGACCCCCGGAGCCCTCTCGGTCTACCCG